AACGTTACTCTTTAATTCAGCATATGGCTCTATAGGTATGACTTATAAATACAAACTTTAGTCGAAAAACACAGATTGTTCATCATACTATGGAGAAACACATTGCTGGGAGAAGTATGGTAACTTGAGCACTATCTTCTCATCTCTCCTACTTTGCAAGTAGTTTTGTAAGTGAAGGATTTCACTATGACTTCAGCTGTAGTCTGTTCATTGCTTTTCATCCTCTGTCCCATTCATGGATCTATTATAATAACTGGATAGGGTATTACTAGCTTGTAGCTGAATAACTCATGTGCTCGGGGGATTGTCGTGGTACTGCAGACTGAACCAGACTAAATTCACGTGGGCTACCCAGAAATTTTCCCCATAGAACTCAATGCATATTAAAACAACTCAACCTCAGCTGACAGAGAACCTGACAGAGAACCTGACAGAGAACCTACAGCTTTAATAAAGGTCGGATTTTGTGGGGACTTTAGTGTCCCTTGTCAACCTGAACTTTTTTTTAATCCACACTTTACTGCCACAAACTCTGCTCGTCTGGCTCTCGCTCTAACTCCCGCTCTGATGAACTGCTCTGATTGGTCAGAGCGTGGCCGAGCCCCTCTGTGCACGTGCGTGAGACCCGGTGTGAGACCCACACACGCGTGTTTGACGCAACACATTATGGGAGATCATTCACTGCACAGAACCGGGAGGACCAGACGATGCCCAAATACAGGCGAGTTTCCCATAGATCTTTGCGAGTTTCAGGCGACTTCCGCTAATCTTTCAGCCCCCATGCCGTCACAAAGCGCCACTGAGCACAACCATTCATTTGAATAGGGCGCCATCTTGGATCGCAGGGGCTTGGTTCCATTGTCTGTTTCATGGCGTGATGATTGGGCTCCTAAATCTGCCTTTTCCCTCTTTTATCTGCACCTGTGGACTGTCTTCCCCAGACCAATGGTGCACCTTTTCTGGGAGTCTCTTCAGTCCTACATCCCACAGGTTCAGTCCTCGTTCTACAGCCTGAGTTCTTAGGACAGTGGTGATCCGGGACAATAAGAGACATTCATTGAAATGTATGTACATTTATGAACATTGGTTATCCCACTCCCTATATGGACTAATTAATATCTCTTTGATGATTCTATTTTCTGTATTGGAATTACTGATTCTCTGATCTGTTGTTGAGGAATCAACAACTGCTGTTCTGATTTAGGGTTATTCAAAAATATATTAAATTGACTTGAATCCAGCCTGAGAGGGAAGGGCCGCTTCCTCCATGAAGTCCGTCAGAAACACTTGAGCTGCTGCATCTTTTATGAGGAAAGCCTGATGCTCATTACAATATTTACAGATGTTTAGAGATTGTAAAGGAATGTTATTGCCACATTTGCCTCCAATTGGTGGATTTTATTCAGTGACCCACCCAGAGAGCATTATACTTTCATTTTCATTAAAAAACACCACATGCAAGTGGTTTGGGCCATAATGAGGATTGAAATACTGTGTCATTTGTTAAATAAGTAATTATGCAGTATTGTGTAATGCGATCCTTGTCACATATAGGCTGTTTGTGGTGTAAGTGAATCAGTCCCATCTGTTTCCTCCAGGGGGAGGCTGTCCTACAGCACTGCTGTGATCTTTGACACTTTCCATAAGGCGCGTAAGACATTATGGAGATTAACATCCTCTATTTGATATAGTAACATTACAGTGTCTTATCAGCACCGTGCTGCACCAAAGCAGCAGTGGGAAGTGCATTTGGCTTTCAAACATTAGGACCAGCAGAGCTCCAGCAGAGAGCAACAGTGATGTCACCACGGGTATGAGGCTGCAAGGGTAAACTTTACTCTGGCCAATTACTCATAGTCTACACATACAATTACTGTATATCCCAATGCATAACTTCTGTTTGCACCCCCTCTGTGTGTACAGTTCGCATGTGAGGACACAATATGTATTTGAACGTACGTTGTGAGTTTTCAATATTTCTCTCTCTTGTGCACAATCATTCATTTATCCGATAAGCCTAGTCCACATCGACAGCCTAATTTAAATGAAAACTATGATGTTGTCTGATGGGATTACCGAGGGACTGGTTTGTGAGTCAGTAAAATATATGTAAGCTATTATCATGAATTCGACAACAGCATTGATGTTTAAACCAATTAACTGAACCCATTAACAACGTATTAATGCAGCTGAACTTTTCTTCACCGTTGAACTTATAGCGCACAAACGTATTAATCAAATATGCAAACTGTATTGCGTTTCACAAAAAATAATTCCATTAAAAAGATCATTTTCCCAGGCTGTAATGAATCCCACATCAGGAAATCCTCCACCTATTAATACCAATTGGGCGACAATAATTGGCAGGCCATCGACAGCGTGGGCAGAATTAATCATTTGAGGACGCTCGACGAGGCTGGATTTTTAATTGGTAGAGGCAGCCACTGTTTAGGGAGGCAACCAGCTGATCACCCAGGAGACCAAAGCTTCAGACAATGCACATTTGCTAATCCTCTTGAGTCGAGTTATTACGGCCATGCATTATTATCACGCTTTACAAACTAATTCCATGTTTTCCCCTGTGGATTACCAACAAGCCAGAGAAAGGTTGCAGAAGAAAACAAAATGTCCAAGGTGTAAGGCCCATCAACATCTGGAAGCTGAAAAAATATCATATGATCGGCAATACTATGTGGAATTGTGGTAAGCTGAAACTGCCCATAGCATGTATTATATCAATATTTAGACTTTTAATTGGCCAAATTACATCAAATTACACCAATTTACATCATCACTAATTTCACTTAGATTACTTTAGTTGCTTCCGTTACATTTTACCACAGTGCTCTCTGATTATATGTTTGACCTGAATGCAAATGGTAAATATTCAAAATCTGAAATAACAATTTTAATCAGGATTTATGAATTTCATATTTCAAGAAATTGATGTTTAGGTCCTATCAAATCAAAATCACAATTTTCTTTTCTCTTTCCAACTGCTTGGATAATGTTTTGGAAATCTGAAAACTCTCTGCCAGCCAATGTGGATGAGCACATGCGAAAATTTTGCACGACTTTAAAATCAATGTGTGTCAATAGTTCCAAAAAAGTGGGAAAAACTGTTAAAAACATGTCTTGTCCGTAGTAAAATATAATACAAATGCTTAAATGGTGTCTTTTCTCTCAGACTGCGATCAGAAAGCAATCCCTCAAGAACTCAAAGGCCTTCTGCAATCATTATGCAACACTCTGAAATTCTACTATATGGCAGAGTTTCTCAAAGGGCGGTGCGTGTACTGACGTAGTGATGCATGAGAGCTCCTTCTGGAATCTGGTGTGACATTCCACAGCTCAATTTTGATTTCATATTTTTCTATGTACAGATTATACCCATCCAACCCACCCCCTACATAAAAAAGTCTTCAATCACAAAGACAGACTGGTTTAGATATGGCGCTATACACGGAGGGCAAGTTTAATCGTAAAGCACAGTTCATACACACGACAACTCAAAGTGCTTAACAAAACAAGAAGAAACAATACGGCTATCCATATAAGCAAGTAATGTCCACAATTGAGTTCCTAATAAAAAAACTTTAATTTATTTCTCTTACCTTGGAATATTCCCACATAACATAGATGTACTTTTATGAGTGCATGGAATAAGCAGGAAGCTAAGCCATTATTATTAGCTTCGCTCAGTTTAAAGGGCCACAAATGATCTATTATGAAAGCTATGATGTGGCTTTTTTAAGTATTATGTTTGACTAGTTTATGTTGACAAAAGTGTGTGGGTGTTTTTAAGTATTCTGAATCTCATATAGGACTTAAAGGGTGCTCCTGGTTAATTACATCTATGTGGACGGTTAATGGTATGGGTCAAATAGCCGTCCATTACATTAGGATTAGGAAATTACAAAACATTTGCGAGCATATTGGAATTATCTGTCTTGCCTGTAAAGCTGGGAGGACAATTGAAAGCTGAGACAATGCCTTGCAAAATGGAATGAAGTCAAAGGTCAAGTTGCAGTAGCTCAGTCACAAATGCCATATGATTATGATTATGACGGCTATTCTCATCACCATTGTGAGGGCCGGGCTGTACACTGCTTGATAATGGAAGCTTTTCTCTTCTCAGTGACAGATATGACCGCGCTATGGAGACTGTAAGAACCAAGGCTCCCGCTTACGCACGGGGGAGATGTTACAGAAAGCATATGGATGAATAAATGATGCCACCCCTTCGCAAAAAAGAGAGGGGACTTGCATGGGGAAGGCTCGTTAAAAATGCATCTTTTCCAAGCGCGCCTCTGTCCCACTTATGAGCGTGTGGGGATATATACTGTACAGCCCTGGCATCCAGTGCGAGAGAGCGGTGCGTGGATTTAAGCGAATAATGGGCAGTTTGTAAATGCCACACGTGCTGAGGCTTGTATCAAAACAGCGTGATGGCAATGAGCCAATGGACATAAACAACCAGACATGTCAAAAGTCAGGAATCTGGCGTTTAGCGAGGTTGGATGGGTGATTGTGATGAAAAGGGGGCGCGTATACGTAAATACTCAAATCAAATTCCGAGCTTGAATGCAATGTTTACACGTGAAAACAGAATGCACACGTTATTTGAGGCAAAATGGCTGTGTGAGTGGGGTACCTTTGTGCATGCCTGTGTAGCGGTCCTTGAGAACTGTCAGCTCGTGGATTTTCCCAAACTGTTCAAAGAGCGGCTTCAGGTCCTTCTCCTCCAAGTTCCGCGGTATCTGCCCGATAAACAGCTTAATGGCATCTTGGTCTTTCATGTTGCCGTTGTCCGGATGAATGGAAATGGGTTCTGAGCCGTTCATGGGTTTGGGGTACTGGTGCTGATGTGGGAGCAGTGGTGTAGGCGGCTGGGTCGCTGGTGCCCCCGGTCCAGTGTAAACCAGGCTGCAGAGAGTGGGCTGGGGATGCTGCTGTGGATGCTGCTGCCTTCTTGTTTCAGTCTGAGTGAATCTGGCCATTCTGAGCTAGGAGCAGAGTGGATAATAATGACAACACACACACATACACTTACACACTTGCACACGCACACACCGTGAGAGAGCGCTCAGCTGGAAACAGGCTGACTTTCTATCAGACGCACTACAAAGCGGAGGGGGCGATGTGAAGGGAGTGTTGTGGCATTATGCGCCCGGCAGCGGCATCTAGTGGCGTGAAAAATGTACTGCAGAACATGCGTCTCCACGTACATGTCAAGCGCTCAACCAGAATGTTTTCGAATAATCAATACGGTGCCGCAAAAAACCCTAACCAAAATTATTTTTCGCACCTAATTGTCACATATATCCAAGTGTCTATAACATCTAAACATATCACAGTGTGGATTTAGATATGTGCACATTACGATAGGATGCATATTAGGATGCATACAGTATTTGCTGGACTTTATAGCGCAACAGCAAATAACGTGTAAAAAATTATATATATATATATATATATATATATATATATATATATATATATATATATAATATATATATATATATATAAATATTGAGTATCTGTTTTTACTGTAAAACCTAATCACTGTCACTGTTTTTATACAATGACAAGAACATGTTTCACTACGCTCCAAGTATTCAGGACACCGTATTCTGATTTCATGGCATATGTTACATAATCCAAAGTACATTCAAGTAATTCAGTGTACGCTCCAAAATCTTTCTTTGATTGACCATAACCCTTTAGGTGCCAAAGTAGAAGAATTGTTACATGAAATCCTGACTCCACAAATGTTTTTGTTTATTTATTTTTGTTAATGATTTTAGTAAAGAAATAAGATGCCATAGTCCCACTTTGTGTCTATTTCACATCAAACTTCTCTCTTTGCATCTCATAACATGAATTATGTTCCCATGCCACTTTCACGTGTTGATGATGTGATTGTATAGACATAATTGTTCATGTTTTTGACAGTTTTATTGGGCTTGGTGTGCCTGTTGTTGTTTTTAAACATGTATTGAAAATGTAAAGAGCCAGTCTTAGATTAATTTGTATAATGAAAAGTGATTTAAATGTAATCTGTATTCTTCACCAGCCCAAGGACCTCAACCAAATTTGGTGAAAATGGTTTTATCCTTTCCAAGAATGGCGACATAGCTTGATCAACACTATAATGTTATCATTATCAACAACACTAGCTGTGTTGTGGATAACACAGCCTGTTGTCAGGGTCAGTGGATGACGTTGCAGTAGCAGTGTTTGGATTTTGAAAAGTCCAAAGACATTATACTGTGTGAAGGACTATCTTCATAAAGTAAATTTAATTCCAAACAATTAATCAAGAAAAAAGCTAAAATAATACCTAATGAGAAATGAAGAAATATACACTGTTGTTTGAGGAGGTTTTAAGTTTGAGCAGGTTTTAAAACATGTACAGTACAAACCCAAACCCAATCCAGATGGTTTTGGGGTGAGCTGGACCACAGAGTGAAGGCGAAAGAGCCAACAAGAGCAAAGCATCTCTGGGAACTCCATCAAGACTTTTGGAAGACTATGAAGCTCATAAAAAGATTGCCAAGAGTGTGTGAAGCAGTAATCAGAGCAAAAGGTGCTACTTTGAGGAACCCAAAATATAAGACATATTTTCAGTTGTTTCATACTTTTTTTTTTTAGGTACATACTTAATTCCACAAGAGTTAATTAATAGTTTTGAGGCCTTCATTGTGAATCTACAATTTTGATAGTCATTAAGAAAAACTCTTGAGATGGGTGGGTGTCCAAACTTTTGGTCTGTACTGTATAAAATCCTTCAGATGAAACTGTATCAGTCACAGAACTGACACATAGAGAATACACAAGCAAGGCCAATTATACTATTGATCATGAAATCAATTACTTTCATACAAAATGTAAATATATCACAGTTGCTTACAAATAGATTAAAGCTGGGGAACCTAACTTTAATTTATAAATAATACATTTGGTTTGTACCAACAGAAATAGTCTTGTAAAGGTTAAATGTGAACACAAGATGGTGACTCTATCTTCATCCACAAAACACATGTTATATCTCTGGGGGAATTCTTTTACCGACAGACAACTGTGAAGATGCAAAATTATACATGATTCTTTTTTTTCCTTCGTTTTTTAAATAATGTAAAACTGAAAAGTCTTCACACAGCATGAGTAAATACAATGTGGAACTCCCTTTTGTTGCAATAACAGCAGCAGTTTTTTGGGGTATGACTCTACAAGATTTGCACATCTGAAGACAGAGAGTTAAGGGCCATTTCTCGTTACAACGCTCAAGCTTTGTCAAATAAGATGTGTTTGTGAACAGCCGTTTTCAGGTCATTCCACAGATTTTCTGTTGGATTTAGGTCAGGACTTTGAGGACATTATAACACATGAATATGTTTTGTTTTAAACCATTCCATCGTAGATTTAGCTTTGTGCTATGGTCATTGTCCTGCTGGAAGGTGAATCTTCGCACCAGCCTCTTGCTGACTCTCGCAGGTTTTCAAGGTGTCAGCCAAAAGGTCAAGGTTCAATTAGTAATTTTGAGAGGCACTGTATGCCCATTGTTGGCAATGACAGAGGTCAAAGTCTTCACAAGGTTTTCACACACTGTTGTTGGTGTTTTGGCCCATTCCTCCATGCAGATCTTTGGGTTCATGTTTGGGTTCATTGTCATGCTGAATCTTGTTTAATCTTCAGTGCCCTTGCTGATGGAAAGAGGTTTCCTCTTTGCAGAAAACAGCCCAAAAGGATTATGTTTCCACCCCTATGATTCATATTCTTCTTAGGATGCAACTCAACATTCTTTCTCCTCCAAACACAACAACTTTTTACAAAAAAGATCCCTCAATCATCTTCTGGATCAGCCAAATACTCTCTGGCAAACTTCAGACAGGCCTGGATGTACTGGCTTAAAAAGGGGGATGAGGCTGTTTCAATTTGAACAGACCAAAGACACAATTATTACATTAAAATTATTTATTTGTTTGGCGCATTGACCCCGGCAGTGATACTTGCAGCGATGAGATCGATTGCAGCTGAAGATGATCTCAGATCCCCCGGGGTCAATCACTGGTGGTGGCTAGAGTTTGGTGTGAATGGGGCGTAGGTGGAGCAGGAGCTAGAGCGGGAGCCTAGAGCGGGAGCCAGAGGGGGTGCTGGGGAGGTGGTGGGTGTTTAAGAGCTCCAGGAAGTGCTGCTTGTCAGGAAGTAGCTGCCTTTTAAACTGCCCACTTGCTTGTGAGAGGGTTGGCAGGAGGCTGGCAGAGCTGTGTGATTGGTTGGCTTGGAAGGGGGAATTTGCACTCAGTCTTTCAGTCTGAACCTGTGCATTCAGCTTAATTTTTCTGCAGAGATGATCTGAATCTGAGGACAATTGATCCGTGCAAAGGGAAATAAAGGTCTGTGTTGCCCAGCGACAGCCACACAAAATTCACTGCTCTAGAAGAGATATGCATGGAGGAATGGGTAAAAATACCAGCAAAACCTTGGGAAGGCCGACAGAACATTTGACCTCTGTCATTGCCAACAATGGGTATATTTTAAAAAAGTATTGAGACAGGCTTTTGTTATTGACTAAATACTTATTTTCCACCATAATTTGCCATTTTCTTTTGGGTGATTTTCTGGATTTTTATTTATTTTTTCTCAATTTGTCTCTCATACTTTTGTATAACTGTGATGAAAACTACAGGCATCTCTCATCATTTTAAATGGGAGAACTTGGGGGCTATACTATTTCACCCCACTGTAGGTGATGAAGGGAAACCAAGGGAGAAACATGCACAAAAGGCCTGGATTGGAAAAGGAAATAAACCTGCTCCTTCTTACCAAATTACCAAATCCAGGCAGTGCTGATGGTGATCGCGTGGCTGGTTCCGTGGCAGCTGAGCACACCAGCAGCTCATCTCAGTGTGATCACCTGGGCTCTTCCACTCAGAAGACTGCAGTTCGTTGCCAGATAATTCCGTCTTGTTCGGTAGTACTTTTGCCTCTGCGCTAATTTTGGATTACTCATTCTCCGTCTCCACAGCCTGCCTGCCAGCAATCTGTCTGTTAATAATAAACTGTAAATACCTGTTTTTGGGATCCCAATTCTACAAAAACCTAGCACACCCATTCATCGAGTGACGTGCAGTGAGGTTGGTGGTCACTGGTAGGTGAAGCACAGACTAATATCAATGGGACCAAGAGCAGCTTATTCACAAATGGTTTTGCAAAAGCGGAATATGTTTAATGTCTGCTAATTTTTTTGCTTCTACAAAACGTACACAAAGTATGTAAAAAAAAGCTTACCTTAAACATGAACTCCACACAGCACTTCAATTCAGAAAAGTTTCATAGGTAAATCCAGATATTAGTTTGAAAACAAGCCAAATATGTCCTTTCGTGTTTTGCTGCTGCCAACACTTGGATGCATCCGATTTGTTAAATCAACCTCCTGACTCTTTACTTCCCGTTCATATCCTTCCGATCGTCATTGGAAGTATAACATTGGTCTAAATGGATTTTAAAATGTGTTACGTGTGTGTTCTCCAAACCTGCAGCTGCAGCAGAGGAAGAACAAGCAAAGCTTTCCAGTGGAATTGGTTGCAGCCGAATTCTGGGCTCACGATCGCCGCCTACATTGAGGCTGGCCCATGGGCTGGCCTCTTGGTAATATTACAAGCCGTGTTTGTCAAAAACACAATTCATGACATCCATCCATTAAACTGTAGAGATGTTGTTTGTAAAGGAAATATGTTTGAACTTTATAAAGAGTGATAAACAGAGAAACCAGTACAATCGCACGTCATTCTCCCAGTGTGAGCATCACCCAAGTGAGACTCGGCGTCAAATATAATGAAAATCTGCAATGTTGGGGAAAAGATATGACATAAGGCAAAGTTTGATTATAATAATAATAATAATACAATAGCCCAAGCCATGTGGTAAAGAGTGACCAAGTATTATTGTTTCCATTTTATTCTTCTTTCTCTCCATGATTGCAGGTGCCTCCCCT